CAAAACAAGAGACCCGAGAACCAGAAAGGCGAGCTCACCACCCATTTATCCCTCCGCCTTTCAATTAGCCCCACATGTGATTATCGGCCAGGTTGGCACAATTAACTAACTCAGGGATACTGGCAATTCTGAGAGAAATCAAAATAGGCGTTTGCAGCAGAGTTGGGGAGACAGACATATAAATGGCTCAGTGTATCACCAGGCAGACAGATGCCTTTGCTAAAGAGAGGCCAGGCAGCCACTGTGGGAGTCCAGAGGAGGTGGCCATTAGTTCTTTTGTGGAAGTGGCCTTGAAGAGTTGGAGAAGCAGCAGAAGAAATGCTGCCCATGGGTCTGCCTTTCAGGTCTGTTGGATGTGTGCACGCTTTGGGGGAAGTGCTTTAAAATCATTAAAAGAAAATGTCCATGTCTTCGGGAATATTCTTCTGTTTCCAGTCTTGCTCCTTCAAAGCTGCCTCCCCATGGCTGCCTGAGTGATTTTTCTAAGTGATATCCTGTTGCCCAAGCCCAAGCCCAAGCCCAACTTCTTCAGCCTGGGGAGTCAGCTTCTTTTCAACCAGGCCCCATCTTCCACTTCCAGCCTTCTTTCCCTGTTCCTTATCTGTGGGAAGCAGGTAACAGGAAGAGAGTGTTTACAGATGAATCCCTTATTCTCATATATTAAGAAAGCTGGCAGGCTGGGTTTCTGGGGTAGAGGGAGGCCTTCACCCCTGTGAATTAGAGGCGAGTCCCAATCACATTCTCATATAGGCATCTTTTATTGGAGTAGACACATGCTATTGCTCTCTAGCCTCTGAGGACAGCCCCTCCCCCTTACCTGCCCAGGGCAATGGTGTTAGGTTACTTCTCCAATATACTCAGGGACCTTTTAAGGTTAGGGTACAGCCCACTTTGTTATGTATGTGGCTACCTGTAATTAGGAGGGCTTGCATGTCCACTGAATGTATATGAGCCTTGGTTGGAAATATATTCTCTTTTTGTGTGCACCTGACTCCTAAAGTCATGGAGGTTCCAGAGATGAGCATTTGCATACCTTATCTTGTCTGATGTCTTTAATTTCACCCCTCAATTACACAATGGCCCCTTGGATCTTGGATTGTGGGGTTTGGTACCTCACACTCATCCACGTAACTTTTTGGGGTGGCCATGCTAAATGTGTCAATGGTCCACAATCCTGTCATTCTAGATGCCTGTGTTATGATCAAATCTGTGCTTGCAATTCAGGTGTGATATACTCAAGGTTAGCTGTATTTTGGCTCTTCTGGGCTTGTTTCAATTTTCTTCAACTTCAACCTGAATGTCCATAGAATTATTGGTGGTCTGTTCCACAGTCAGCACCTGGCCTAATTTATCAGCAGATGTCATACATTTGATTCATGTGTATTGTCTGTCTACAGACCCATATGTACCATTGTCATTGAAAAATGGTATTTGCAATTTTGGTCCTGCAAAATTCTATGATGGGATCTCCAGCTTCTAACACCAAACTACCATTTATTTGGCATTATCCTATGCCAAAGGAACTGTGCTAAGCACTTTACATGCCCTTTCTTCATTATTTTGTGTAGTATTAAATTAAAAAAATGATGCTGAGGGAGGTGAGTGGGGTGCCAGCCCCCACCTGCTGCTTGAACTCACTGGTTCAGTAATACTACTTCTGGGTTCAGTAATGCACAATTATACGGTTGAGATATATAAGCATTATATTAAAGTCATTGAGAGCATGAGAGATAATACAATAATACAGTCAGGCATGTTACATAGTACCATTGCTCACCTCATCCCAGCTTGGTGGTCCAGTGGAGAGAGGGGGAAGGGAAGGAGGGGAAGGGAACAAGGGAGAGGGGAGTGACCAGGGAGTGAGCAGCAAAGAGCTCAGAGTCAGAGAGAGATCTCTTGCTGACTCACACCTATATACCTTTTGGGGGCAATCCAGCCCACTAATTACAGGTAGAGACATACATCACAGGGAGGAGCTGCACTATAGGTTACACAGCAATGAGTGGGTGGTCTAGGGGTTGGTCTCTGGGTCTCCATAGGAATATTATCAGTAGGGTGCAAACCCCTCCTACAGGAGCCTGTCCATTGTCCCCAGAGGCAGGGAGCAGGCCTACCTGTGGTGGGATGAGACAGCAGTCTGGCAACTGATTGCTCTCAGTGGGGGAATGCCTGCGCATCTGACCTCCCCCCACAATTTTGCCAACAGCAAGCTACTTCCGTTTTCCCTGAGGCTCCTGGGGCTAGGGGGTTCTTTTCTTCCAGTTTGTGGCACGAGTGGAGAATTTTGAGATGAACTGTTTATCTGAATTTTCAACTTGCTGCAACATTGAACCACAGTGAAGGCTTGTAGAAAGAATGAATCCTGCTATCTGATGGAGTGTTCTTTCTCCCCTTCCTGCCAGATGAACTCTTGTTGATCCTTCAATGCTCAATTTTTGTTGTTCTTAGATGCCCTCAAGTCAGTTCTAACTCACGGCAACCCTATAACCCACAGAAGGAAGCTCTGAAACACTGTTTGGCTCTGAGTTATGGCCGTCTTCACAATCACTGCGATATCTGAGCCCATTCAAGTTTCACCATCCTTGCTTCTAAGGAATAGTCTGGTTGTCCTTCTGAAATAGTTTTGTTTTTAATTCTGGAAGTCCATGGGATAGTCAATATTCCTTGCCAACACAATTAAAATCCATCAGTTCCTTTTTGGCTTGTACTATCACCTTCCTAATGATCTTTTCTGGCTCCCAGAGCTCTGCATTTCCTTTGGAACCAGCACTGAATATCTGGGTCATCACCTTGTTTACTTACTGATCCCCCATACAGGGAATGGAGGGATGGATTTGGGCCTGGTTCCTCATGTTCCTAGCACCATCCTAGAATGATCTTCACCTAGAAGATCTTTGTTATTGTTAGCTAGTATTCAGAACTACTCCAAGAAAAGAAGATTCTGTGTTCTCTAAGTTCATATTCTTAGCTTGTAGGGGCTGAATTCTGCCCCCTCCCTCCATATATGTCTATGTCCTAAGTCCCAAGACCTGTGAATATGGCCTTGCTTGGACAAATGGTCTTTGCAGAGGTGACTGGTCCTGACGTGATCATCGTTGGTAGGCCCTAAATCCAAGGACAAGTTTTCTCAAAAGAGACAGAAGAGGAATATCAAAAGGTAAAGGCAGCATAGGGCCCTGCACCCCTCTCCAAGATCATGAGGAAGTTGGGGCCCATTGCTGTAGCTAATGTGGCAATCCAGCTCCTTGAGGGTCCTCCTTGTTTCTACTGCTCCTTTGCCAACGACAGTGCTCTTTTCTAGCAATCGGTCTTTCCTGAGGACATGTCCAAGGAACGTGTTAATTCTTTTGGTACTCCATGGTAGATTCAATAGTCTTCATTAATACAACAGTTTGAATATGGATTCTCCTGTCTTCCTTCAGAACTTTCTCACTATTCAGGTTTTGCATGCATATGAGGCTACTGAAAATACCATGGCTTGAGCCAGGTACATCTTAGTCATCAAAGTGAAATCATAAATATAGTTGTTGTTTTTACCCCCCAAATGGCTTAAAGTTAATACATGATAGCATGCTTACCTGTTACTATGAGTATGTCAGAGTGCACACATGATATACCAAGTACCATACTGGGCACTATACACATGCTGACTTACTTCATCTGTAGTACAATTTTATGACTATTTTACAGATGCCAAAGCCATAGCTGAGGGAGGGGATCTGACTGGCCTGGAGACACCTTAACTAGGAGATTGCAATCAAGATTCCAAAAGTGCTTGCTGATTCTGACTCCGAAGTGCTACATCGGCTCAGGTGGTTGAAAAATCCAGTCTAGGAGGGAAAAGAAGGCAGATTGGTAACTGGCAGAATGACCCAGTATCATTTATTATAGAAGCAATTGGTAGAGAAGGTATCATGATGATCCAAGAAGTCTGCACGGAAGAGGTAGCTTCTGAGCTGGGCCTTCATTTCAACAAAACATCTCATGATTATGTTGTTTTAGACATCAGCGGGTCGTGTTTGCTAGAGGGATGAGAGAGAGAGAGAGAGAGCGAGCCCGAGCGCGGAGCTTACTCTAAACAACGCAACGCAATCAAGTACAGGGATCATGTGGCCTGAGACTTAAGGATTTCTGACTTAAGGTGTCAGAGAGGATGGGAGATGTTTTGGAGGAAAGGACCCCCATCTCGTTCCACCCCTAGCTGAGATCTGATGAGCAAGCATTTGCCAGAAGAGTAGCAAAAGCTTCCGAGGGATCACATAAACAACCCCACAGGGGTAAAACAGCAGCCAGGCACGCCTCATCTTACCGTACCAGTCAGTGGAGCGCAGGAAGCGGGCGTGGAGGTAAGCGGGGATCTCCATGTGTTCTGCGTGGGCACTCTGCTCAACCGTAAAGCGTCACGCGTGGTCGGGAACGCAGCAGAACAACTCGTTCCAGCGCCATTCAGGTCTCCGCCCTTCAACCGAGGCCTGTTTCCGTGGCAACTAGGTTAGGGCGGAAGTGGCTCAGAAGACCGACTCTCACGCATCAGGTGACTCGCCTGTCTCCTGCACGTGACACCGGAGTCCCAGCTAGCTAGCTACCTAGTCAGACCCCGCCCTCTTCCCTTTCTTGGCAATTGACAGCAACCTAGAGCAATGGTGTTTACAGATCTACGGGCAGGTCCCGCCCCCTGATAATGAATGAACCAATTTGACGGGGAAGAGAAGAAGCCACGCCCAGGTTTCACCCCGGTTTGACAGACGTAATATCGGCCAGCCTCAGGTCCCTCCGCCCCCAGCCCAATACAGCCGGCGATGGACAGCCCTTCTGCCCAATAGCATGTACCGCGCTGGTCGTGGGGCCCCGCCCCTGGAAGAAGTGGACCAATGAGCACGCCAGGTCTCGCCGGGGCGGTGGGGGGTTGCACTGCGGTAACAGGGCTCTTCCTTAGCCAGCGGCGGCGGCCAGCGGTGGGGTAGAGCGGTCCTGGCTTTCGGGCGGCGGGTTCCTAGGCTGCAGAGGCTCGGCGGGTCGTGGTTAGGTGGTAGCGGCGGATGCCGGAGGAGCGCCGGCTCGGCCGCTTGGCGGCCCCTGGGTCGAGATGAGCGGCTCGGCGTCTGTCGGGGGCCCGGTGCTCCCGCTGCCCCCGGGCCCGGCCACTGCGCTGCCTCCCGGCTCTGCCGCGCGGGCTCTTCATGTGGAGCTGCCGTCCCAGCAGGTAAGCCCGCGGGCTCGCGGCTCTCGGGAGGGACCGGATCAGGAGACCCTGTTGGCACCGGTCTGATCCCGTGCAGCCGGGAGACCCCGCGAAGTGACCGGGGAGAGCGTAGGGGGACCGGGGAAGCCTGACAGGAGATCCTGGGAGGGGAGGGGGCTTCAGTAATGGGCCAACCGTCGGGAGAGCCCGACGGGGAAAAATCCCGTTACCGGAGAAGGGCTGGGTGCAGCGAACAGGAAGAGACTCTGAAACTCCCTGGGGCCCCCGGCCAGAGTCCGCCGCGCTCCCTAGAGGGCTGGGGATTCCCTGGCGCAGACCCTCCCCCTGCGCGCTGCAGGGCTGGGACCCGGGGAAGCCCTCCCGCCCGTCCCCCGGGAGATCGGGGAGAGCTCTTCCTTTCTCCACCGTCAGCCCTTCCTCCCCGCCCGTCGGGAGAAACCAGTTGGCTCTCTTTGCTCCAGGCCAGTGGTGAGACTTTAGGGTTCC